TAGATCAAAGCTTACATTAAAACCAATCTTGAAGGCAGCTTCTATGGCATAGCAGTAGATGCATAGCTCAAGAAGCTGGATCCCACATGGCGGCCATGGCTTAAACCTCTGACCCAGTCAGCCTGAAACACACTGGGAATGGGCAAGAGCCCAGCATCTGACAGGATGGAGAATTGGAGACAGAGGATTACAGGGTAACCAAACCCTGTTGAGGGTGTCTCTCTCTCTCTCGCTAATGAATGCACATGAGCTTATTCATGAATAGAGAAAGAAAATTTAAACAATTTTTTGAGAGGTTTTTACTATAGGACGTGTGCACTCGCCAGAAAGACAGAGACAGAGAAACAGAAAGAGAGAAATCACCCCCCAGGGGAGATGGCCACGCTGCAATCCCTTCTCCTCTATTCTCCTCTTGGGATCTTGGGCATGTACACACACGCGCCTGGTGTGAATTTAAGCCACCGGATCCACGACTTGAATCACAGTTGACTACATGGGAGTCCAGCAACATAGCCATTATGCCAACTGCTGGTCCCTAAACGATTATTTTTTTTAAAGATTTATTTTATTTAACTTTATTTATTTTAATTTGACCAGAGAGTGACAGAGTGAGAAAGAGAAGGAAAGTGAGAAAGCAAGCTGCCAGGTCCAGAACTTGATCCACAGTTGGCCATGTGAGAGTCCAGCACCCTTAGCCACCATGCCACCTGCTAGCCCCAAAGCAGTTATTTATTAAAAAGAATTACTTATTTAATTTTATTTATTATTAATATCTTAAAAATTTGTTATAGGGTATATGTGCTCACCAGAGGTGGGGGGGAGAGGGAGAGGGAGGTCTGGGACTCAAATCGTGATTAGCCATGGAGGAGTCCAGTGCCTTAACCACCATACCACTCCCTGGTCCCAAATTTAAAGCAGTTATAAAATAGCAACAACAACTAAGCTTGACACACCACTTGTTGCATTCACCCCCAAACAATGTAGGTGCCCTTCATTAAAAATGCCAGTGAGAGACCAGCCCATACCTGAGTGGTTAAGAGAACTGAATTCCTCTATGGCTGACCACAATTTGAATCCTGGTCCAGGTGGCTTGAGACATATGTTGGTTGCCTGTGCTCCTGTGTGTTCGTGCCCCAAGTCCTGACGGATGAAAAACGGAGGAGGGATTGTTGCATGACCGTGCCCTTCCGGGGGTGCTTCCTTTCTCTCTGTCTCTCTCTGACAAGTGCATGTGCCTTCTGGCAATAAAAGAAAAAAAAAAGACTTGAAGAAATGCCAGTGAGTATTGGGAATTACTTATTAAATGAGTGTGAAAGCATAAGTCAAATAATTCTCAACATCCCCTTTCTTCTGATACGTACAAATTTTACGAGCCATAGAATAAAATTGCAATATAGGGAAGAACGTATGGTTGGTGTTGGTATTTGCTCTTTTAGGTGGTGAAATATTGCCAGCACTGGATGAACCTATGGCTTGCATATTGTCCCAGGCTTTGTGTTTTCAATCTGTCACAGCTATGTGTTTCACAGAGTGGACACTTAGTAACACAACTTGTATGTGCCTTTTTTTTTTTTTGGAGAGGTTTTTGCTACAGGGCAGTGTGCTAGCCAGAAAGATAAGAGACAGAAAGTGAGAAATCACCCCCAGAGGGGATGGCCACACCACAATCCCTTCTCCTCCATTCTTCTCTCAGGATCTTGGGCACATACGCAACGTGCCCTGCATGAGTTCAAGCCTCTGAGTCCAGGACTCGAACCACGGTCAACTACATGGAAGTCCAGCAACATAGCCACTACAGTGACTGCTGGTCCCTGTATGTGTCTTTTTTGACCACAAGGAGCAAGCACCCCTTGGCAAGGCAGCTAGGGTTGCAAGCATGGTAGGAGCTGAGGCCCCAATGATGCTTAAGATCTCTTCTCCTCTCAGACTCCCCACCTTTGAATTCTAGAAAAGCACTGCCTACATTCATCTAACACTTAGTTGAGAGAATTTCTCACAGAAAATCTGTCCCCAAAACATCATTAAAAGATCACTCCTAGGAATGCAACACCATTAAAAAAATAAATAAATAAAACACAATTCATTGGAATGGTATTTGCACCTAATTAAAACATTAACACTTACCCTGAATGCTTCACTCTCAACACAGCCCCTGAGCTGTTGGAGATTGCTAGTGAGAGGTGAAATTAGGAGA